GTGGGCTGCCTCCACCTTTAATTCCACTTTTCATTTAGTTTTGCCATGAGGCACATACACTCGTTGGAGAGAGGCAAAGCGAGGGGGAGTAAGAGATCTCCCCCGAGGATGGCTGTGCCGTCACCCCTCCCCTCCACTGTCCTCGCGGCGTTTGGGGCACACAGGCGCATGTGCCCAGCATGACATTCAAGCTATGGGTCTGGAACACGGCCACGGTCGGCCTTGTAGGAGTCCTGCACCTTCTCCCTTTCCTCCCCTCTCACACACACTCTCTGTTCCTCTCTGGTCAAATTAAAATAAAGTTAAATAAAATCTTACAAAAGGAAACATGCTGGGTACATACGTGTGTATGCACACGTGCACATGCGTGCCGAAGTTCCCTACAGGACAGAGGAGCAGAGAAGGGACTGTGCCCCAACGTGGGCCTTTGTCTCCTGCCACCCACCCCCAGCTCTGGCCCATGCACTTTTGGCAATTAAATTAATCATTTAAAAAATGTATATTTTCAGACAGGGATTTTTTCCCGACAGGGTTCTGCTAGGTTCCCCACGTTGTCCTCAAACTCGCAGCCCCGCCAGTGGCCCCCGTGTCGCTGGGATGACAGGCATGCACTACTGCACCCGGCTTGGGCTGGGCCACGACAGCCAGGCCTCCTCGTGGCCTTGGCCTGCGCCACGGCAGCTTCGACGGCGGCCGGCACAGTCATTGCTATAACTCGGCAAAGCCATTTGGCTCTCGGGGTCCGGGACTGAGCTCTGAGACGCTCTCCTCTCGCCGCTGAGATGACCCCGTACCCCACTGTGGCCACAAATACATCTGAGGCCCAGACAGTGAGCTGAAGACACGGCAGGCTGTGGCTAGAGGGGGCGCCACTTGTTCTCCTTTAGGAGAGAAACAGACACACAGATACACAAAAAAAGAGGGAGATGCGGAGAAAGAGAGACACAGAGATGGAGACAGAGCCGAGAGAGAGACACCAGGGGAGACCAAGGCCTTCTCGATGGGGCCACGTCCTCCCGCTCAGCCTCTGGCTCGGCCAAGCGCAGGCCGCGCAGCTGCAGCCGCCCGCTCGGCCTGGCCTTGGCCACAGTGCGGCTTCAGCGTCCCATCAGGGTGCCGTCTGCGTGCCCCTGCACCGACCTGTGTTGTTGGGCTTTGGGTTGTTGTGACTGAGTGTGTGTGTGTGGATGCACAGAGGGACCCCAGGAAGCTGCTGCTGGCCAGGAGGAGCAGCCGGCTGGCCCCCCACTCCGCCCCGCCCCGCCCCAACACATTTGTGCATTTGTTTGGTTTTAAAAAAAGTCACGATCGCTCTGGAGAGGACGCGCCCCAGTGGGCTGCGGCCACACTGCGGCCCCTGCTCCGTGTCTGTGTCCCCTTGGGATTTTGGGCACTCACGCACGCTAGTGTGTTTTTAAGCTGCCGGGTTGCCGCTTAGGATCCGAATCTCGGCCAGCCCTGTGGGACCCAGCTTCCTGCCGTCCTGCAGGGATGGCCCCCAGCTTGGCTCTCAGACGGGGTCTCAGTGACGCCACCCAGCCTCAGCCTCCCGAGGCACTGGGGCCGCAGGTGCACTCGCCCGCCTGCCCCGTAGGTTGGACCAGGAAGTGACGTGGCTCCCGCGTGGCCAGCCCACGGGGTGCCCACCCTGCAGTGTGGCACCTTGCTGGGCCCGTCTGGATTGTTTTTTAGAGATTTTTGCTATAGGGCACATGTGTTCTCTAGAGATACAGAAAGTGAAAAGTCACCCCCACGGGGGTTGGCCACGCTGCAGTCCCTTCTCCATTCTTCTCTTGGGATTTTGAACACCCATGCACACACGCCTGGCGTAAGTTTTAAGCCTCTGGGTCGAAGACTTGAGCTGCGGTTGACTCCATATCTGGAAATTTTAAAGCTGTGAGTTGAGATAGTTGAAGCGAGTATACTTTCTAGTAGTAAAAGATAAAACGGTTGGGCACAGGATGCCTCGCCATAGTCCCAGCGCGCAGGAGGGCTGTGAGTTCAAGGCCTGCGTGGACAGCATGACCAGGCCTGTCTCTAGAATTAAAACACAAGGACCTATAATCTTAGATGGCTCTAGTGTGGCCTTAACGCTACAGCGACCCAGCCCTGCTGTCGGCTCAGAGCCCTGGGCCGGGTCTCACACCACAGCACCGCCATTCCCCTTCGACGCCGTCCGCTCGTTTCTCTGAACACGCGTGCTCTAGGGACGCTCAGGCCACCCCCATACGGTGCGGTCAGCATCCCTGGGCAGGGCTGGGAGTCCCGGCAGGTGCCCAGGCTGCAGCAGAGCCTGGCCGACATGCGCCACCTGGCGGCGGGCATGCACGTGCCGTGGCCGGCGGGGCCACCGGCGCTCAGCCGGCCTCGCTGTGTCTTAGGCTCGCGGAGCTGGAGCACCTGGCCAGAGAGCGGGACGCGGTGCTGGCGGACGCAAGGGCGGCACACGCAGAACAGCTGCAGGAGCTGCAGGCCCGGGAGCGAGGGCTGCAGGCCCGCTGCGAGACCCTGGAGGCGCAACTCTGCAGGGCTGAGCAGAGGCAGGCCGAGGCTGCTAGGGAGAAGGATGCCGTCATCGACAGGTGAGCAAGCATGGCCGTGGGCCGGGCGGCGGGGAGCACGTTCTGGCTCCAGAGGGGGGCAGGCGGGTGGGGTCACACTCTCCGGCTCCAAGCAGGGCACACGCACACTGTCCTGTAGCTGTCACTGCTGTCCCCGAACGCCCTGCCTTCCCACCCCAGCCCTGTCCCTGCTCCCCCTTGCCCACCGCACAGTGTGTGCTCCCCGCCCTGGAGCAAGTTCAACAGCAGCAGTCCGAGAAGCCGAGGCTGCCAGAGCACACGCCTCCCTGTCTTGGTGTCCCACCACCTTCACCCGCAGCTGTCCCCTTGCCATGGAGTGGCAACCCCACGACCAGGGCAGCGCTCGGTGCAGAGGGAACCTCCCGACCCTGGGACGGCTTGAGGGCCAGTCGGCCCGAGTGGCTGAGCCCCTGTGCTGAGCCTGCAGCGGCTGGTGTGGGTTTGGAGTCTGGGGCCACAGACCACCTGCCCAGTGGCCTGACGGGGGACCTGGTGGGCCGGCCAGCAGCTGCCCTCCTACACACCCCTCCTGCAGGCCGTGGCCAGGCGTGCTGCGGCTGCAGCTCTCTGGAGCACGTGCCGGCTGCCTCCGCGGGGACCCAGGGCATGTCTGGGGGGGCACTGGTGCTGCAGGGGTCCCAGCTCATGTTCTCTGCCCGTGCCAGGGTGGGCACAGAGGCCAAGCCACGGCTGAGCGCTGGGGGGTCAGTCTCTTCCACGTGGACGGAGCCAGCGTGCACGTGCCTGTTGGGTGCAGAGCGGGCGCAGCCTGGGGGCCTTCTGCAGCTCTCCCGAGCGTCCAGGGTGCTGGCGTGGGCCTCGTCTTGCCTGCGTCAGACCTGGCAGCACCCAGCTTTCCTGCCCTCCCTGCCCAGGGCAGCCTCTGGGACCCGGCTCACCCCACTGTCATGGCCACGGGCCAGAGGGTCCCGGTGCAGGAGTACCCGCGGGTGTTCATGGTGTGGCGTTCCTCAGCCCAGGGAACCCGCGGGCAGCCATGGGGGCTGCAGACCCGCGGCCGGGCAGCAGGGGGGGGGGGGGCGGAGGCCTGGGCAG